AGAGGGAGGAAGGTGAGTGAATAGTGTCTAGGCCATGTTGTCATATTGTCGCTTAAGTAGGGTGGGTCCACCGCCACCTCACGAGACCTCCTACTCAATTTTAAGAAACTTGCCTAACCACTCAATTTTTCGTTCTGAATCCATTTCCAGGGTTATTTTTATCATTTGAGACCTCCTACTCAATTTTACCTTCCTAGGGTTATGTGTTTGGCTAATTACCGTTTTACCCTTCCTTTGTATTTTGGCTTTAATTTCAGGATTTTCACTAATCCTACCCTTTAATTCACATATAATATGTTAATACATGTTTTAGAAATGCGAGGTGTTATAAAATTTATCACACTTGAATATTCTAACAATCTCCCCTTTAAGTGTGAAACCCAATATTTGTATGCTCCCTCTTAACCGAGTATCCAAGGCCAAATACTCAGCTCGCCTCCTAGCTAAATATCAGGCTAACTTGAGCCCAACCCGACAATGATACCACTGTCAGACGGGTCTTGGAGGAGCACATGGCGAGGGACCCCACCAATGGACTAAGCTTACACTACCATATCAAGTGGGTCTGACACCATATATCAACCCAAAATCTTACGGCATTGAATTCATGGGTCCTCCCACTTATATGGATTTCACTTAACCAATTACCAACAAATGTGAGACTCACCACACTTGAATAACCTAACAAGCAAGATGCCCCTTGATCTCTCTCTATTCTCAGCTTCCATCCCCACTCCTCCTCTATCTGAGTTACGAAAACATGTACACACACATAGGGTCGGGTCTTCATTCTTTTGAGAAGAAGATGCATGATAAGGTAGGGAAATGATTTGGGATGTGAAAAGTATGTTGCAAGTGAGTGTTTCTGAAGGTTAAGAGGAAGAGTAGTCTGTAGCCTGTAGATGTAAAAACTTATGGGGGAGTAATGAGGAATGTTAAAAATTCAATTAAGGAGGGAAAAAGTTGATGAAGAGTGTAGGAAGGATTTGGAGTGAAGGTGAAATATCTCATGTGCTCTGCAATGTGATGTAGTAGAAGTGAGGGAAAAACTTCCTTTTCTGATTATTTGACATATGCAAATTATTATTATTATTATTATTATTATTTGTGTGGGTCTTACAGTTGGGGTTGTGTTTCGATCACATGGAAATATATTTAAAATGGAAAAAATTACTTTTATGCAATATAAGAGTAATTTTATCTCCAATAAATTCATCGAAAATCATGATACTCTTTTTAATTTTTTTAATTTTTTTTTTGTAAATGATGGATCCCACCACATGTGTGTCTACAACATGAGAGATCTTCTTTCATGTAACATGAGATTAGATGAACCCATTTAAAATTTGAATGTGATATTTCTCATCTTATAGAAAATAAAATTATTTCTTACATACACAAATTTATGAAGCCATATAAAAAAAAAAGAGAAAAAAAAAATATAAGCTCTATTCAGTTTTAAAAGACATTAAACCCTTAAAAAATGTTACCTAAAAAAAAGCGCAAAATCAAGCATAGGCCTTCCCGAAACGTCTCTTATTAACTATAATTATTAATTAGAGCCTTAGAGGGTCATGATGCCAGCAACTTTCCTAGTTAAGCCAATTTTGTTCCTCAAGCCCCTTAAACCATTTAATGGGAAGAATGCATGTCAGATTTCCCGAAACCATAAATAGTACTGAACCAATTGTTACACTCATCAATAATTGATTTCAATTACACAATTGGCTATAGTCAGCACTCAGCAGCAAATATTTATCTCATATATTATATGAGATAATTATATCATGCAACAAAGACAAAGATAATAAAGTTCATTATTTAAAAAAAAATAGTAAACTCTATTATCTTGTCTCTGTTACATGAGACAATTATTTTCCATAATATTTTAATTATTTGAATTTTTGTTAGTGTATGTGATCTGATAAATATTATACAAATACAAGGCCCAAAATACAAAGTTCAAATCAAAAGCCTTTGGTCAAAGAAGGCTGCAAACCTCATATCTATCACTAAGGCCATCTCTCCAAGATGCATAATATTAAAAACTCTATGACAGCAAGCTCCTCAACATTTAATCATCACAGCCATACTACTTTGGCACCAAGAAATCTTTGACTTCACCATGAAGAAAGACATCTTCCAAGCAGCACATCACTTCACTATAAATACATGTATTAACCACAAAGTACATTATCTTCTCCTACATAATTAAACCTGTTTGAACCAAATCTGACTTGAGCGTCGGAGTGTCTTGCAGGTACACCCCTCATCTCGTTCCATAAAAGACTCATGGGATAAAGCGGCCCAACTGCAAGATGCTTTGACCCAAGACGATTTCAGGCTGTGTAGAGGAAGATCAAATGATCGACCCAATTGTAAAATCCTATTCTGATCAGTATGCATTTAGGATAGAGATTAAGAAATTAAACAAAAAAATACAAGTATTTAATATCTTAAAATTAAAAATAAGTTAGATTCGTAACGAAAACTATATCAATTGCGTAACATATACAGAACCATACGTTAACTATAAATACCCAGACACGCAACTATACCCAATTATAAGCTTGAAAAATGATGTTTTGATCTAATATTAATCGTGTAACCACCATGTTAAAATTTTATATGACCTATTTATCTAAAAAAATAAAAAAAAATTATGACCTGATTATGTGAAATTTTTATATTTATCTCTTCTTTTATTAATGATAATTGAACCCCCATTATTTAATGTATACGAAAGAAGAAATAGACAAAAATATTTAATATGATCAGATCATATAAAATTTTAACACAAAAGAATTACTCTAATAAGAAACAACGTTCCACTATTTTTATCAAATAATAGTACTTTAATTAGTGTATGAGAGCTGAGTAGGTGTCGGAAGAATCTCGGTTCAATCCTCATCAATATCACCTTTGAGAGGAGCATAAAAATTTTAATTTTTGATTCTTTCTGTACTCAAAATTAAACTCATAATTGATTTAAAAAATTGAAATTTAAGAGAATACGATTGATATGAAAAAAAAAATTCCAGTATTTTCTTACACTGCCCTACTTTCATTGTGTCATTATGGTCATAACAAAGAAGTTTGTCCTGTCACACCAAATTCAGGCCTTCAATCAATGTCGCTACCTGATCACAATGATCTATGATGTTCGTACACTACACCCCAAGAGTTAAAGAAATCACCTACCCTCAATGTTGTGAAAATAACCTAAATCTAACCCTTGCCACATGGCATAAACGTGATCAAATCAAGGGGGAAAATATTGACCCCACAATTACTTTATGAGAAAAATGGCCTCTTTTTAAAATTTAATAACATGACTGACCCTACCAAGATCCATATAACCCCCTTTCCACTTATACCATATGAATCCCACACCGACCTATTCCTTGCTTGTATTATTAGAATATTTGTAACGGTTAGGACGTAATAGAGATGCAAATCTAAAAGAATCAAAACCTTATTTATGAGACATGAAAGGTTTGCAAATATTGTCGTTACATACACCCTCAGAGTTGGCAACACGTGGGTCCAAATTAACTTTCAATACATTCAGAAGCCCAATGTGCATTATATACAAGACCATTCCAATATATTTGTCAAGTCTTACGAGGGCATTATTGATTTTTAGCCATTGTTTTCTCTTTTAAGTTCAACCACTACAAAGGAACATTACATCAGAAAAAATGAAAGGAGAGTAAATGCCCAATTGATAGTTGAAAGACATTTTGCATCTTTTGTTTTTAGTTTTAAATAATTAATGATTTAAAGACTAAATTAATATTTAAATATTTCTTATTAAAGGGTGTATTAATATTTATTATAAACGTTAAGAAGTCAAATTGATCTTTAAAATCTTTAAAAGATTAATTTAATTTCAAAAATTAAATAGGACCTCCTTTAATGAAAAAGTGATGCCGCTTTTTACACTGTATAGATTTAGAGGCATCTGCGCTACATAAATAGCAATAATAATATAAATAATTAAATTATTTGTCCATTTTTTTTAAAAAAAAAATATTTTATTTTTAAAAATTGCACTTTTCTCTTACAAAATTAACAGATGTTTACATTTTAAGCCTATTTTAACAAAAAAAGCTATCTCAAATAATTTTTCTTAGTTATATAACTCCTACCTAATTTAATATCTCCATTACTAACTTTTAAAATTTTAAAAATTGAATAAAATTCAAGAACAAATTGTACAAATGTCTTAAATTTCATTTTATCTTTTAAAATTTTAATATTGAATATACTAATAATACTGAGTAGGGTGTTCGCGGTCTGAATTGAATTAGTTTTGAAGCAAAAATTATCCAATTCAATTCCTTAGATTTGATTATTTAATTATCCATTAGTTTTTTTTTTTTAAATCTAATCAAATCCAATCCAATTTTATTGGGTTTGGATTGGATCCGTTTTCGATTTTACGAAAAATTTAAAATTTCAATCATACAAATTGCTATCTATAAATTATAAACCATTGAAAAATTCAAATGTTCAAATTAAAATACATTTTAAAATTCATGAATAATTAAAATAGATTAATAAAACAAAAAACTAAAACAAAATAATTTGCTATTAATAACACTCAAAATTTCAAGTTTACAAAATAACAAAATTTCAAGTAACCATATTTCATAAATACATAATACATTGAATCAGTTTAAATTTAATCAATTTTCACCAAATAAATCAAAAATCAATCCAATCCAATCCAATTAAAATATGCAAAAAAGGTTTCAATTTTTGATTTTTCAATTTTTGATTAATTTAGTTATCAGTTTTATGATTCAGACACAGCAATTTGGATTAATTAATGAACACCCCAAATACTGAGTCACAAAAAGAAAAAAAGAAAAAATCCACCTTAAAAAACTCATCTATAGCTACTTACCACTTGTAAGAGACATTTGCATTGAAATAAAATAAGATATCATTTTCATTTATTAAGAGTAACATTTTTCAAGATAGAGGACGTGCTTGAGTTAGCCAAAAGAGAATCAGTAGTAAGGAGATCAAAGAGGGACTGAGAAGAACAAACAAACGAAGATAAAAAAAAAAGAGGATAATTAAATTACCACCTACATTATTATGTACATATGCAATGTATAGTAACGATGCATAACATATCCCTGCCACAGATCTACTTATATCAGCAAAATTTGGCAGCATGTCTTCGATTAAACTAGATAAATACAAAGAAACTAAAAAAAGAGAGGAGGGGTAGTTCCCAATGCAATGGTTCACGCGCTTTGCTTTTCAAATTAAACCAATGGACAAATGAACCTATCCAGAGATCAGTCCCCACAACACAGCACAGGCCATGTCCTTCACACCGTCCAAAAGTTTCAACTCAAAAAGAATGGCTTCCAGTTCAACCTACTGTGTTGTGGGGTCAGTGACTCATCAATGCCAAATACCAGTTGCTACAACCTTTTCTTTGAGGAAGTGAATTTTTTTACTTTGGTTTGGTGCTGTGAGAGGTAAACTTGGCACTGTATAAAAGTTTTACCTATCCTAAACCCTGGAACTACAGTAAAAGCAACCTGTGGCTCAGATTCCTCAGCCATTTCATCATTTACACTCTCCATGTACACATCAGAGAATCTACATCCCTTCCCCACTTGAAAGATTGAAGCTTGAGGCTCAAAAGAGAAGGCTAAGCAATGTAGAAGCCATACCCTCTTAGCCATATCAGCAAACAATGTGAAGAAGTTAGTGTCAGGAAATTCTCCAGCATTCAGCAGGTTCCTCTGGCTCAGGTTACCAAAAAATGATGCCTCCATTTTGGTATGAACAAGTCTCAGGTACTTGACCCTACAAAATTTTGCAAATGGTGATCTTGGATTCCCAGCAAGAAATTCCTTTGCTTTGACAGATTTTAACTCATTGAAACTCCCAAAGAACACTTGTTGCTTATTTCTATCTGGAAGAGACTCATTAGGGAGAGAGAAATTAGGCAAGTTGAAAGAATCAAACATCTCCCTGCAAACAAAGGACTCAATTGCAAAACACTTGTGATCTTCTTTCAAGTAAACCACATTCTGTTCAATGGCATTAACAGCAGCATCAATATCCCAACCAGAAGATCTCATCTCATTCACAATCAACTTCACAAAGCTTCTTATGGACCTAACTGTGTGGCGAAGAACAGCAATTAAATGGCTAGGACTGAGTCCTGAAACATGGAGATCATCAAGAACAGATAATGACCCACTTTTACTTAACCTTTTCTCAATGGATCTGTTCTGATTATTAGCTTCCTCTAACTTCTCTCTAAGAAATATAATCTCAGATTCCTTGAGCCTCACCTGTGGCTCCAACTTCTTTCTCATGATCTCATATGTTTTTATAACATTCAGCAGCTCCTTTGATTCAGCTTCAAGAATTGCTCTCTCTGGTGAAGGATCAAACTCCTTTTTCAAGAAACATTGCTTTAGTTTAGACAAGGTCTTCAAATCTGAGATTAGCAATCTATCAGCAACTTGAATTCCATCTGGGTCATAAGGAGATTGAGCATACTGTAGCTGAGCATATGAAGCTTTTACAGCTGAAATGTTAGCAAAAATTTTTGCAAGCAAAGCTTCTGTGGCCATTATTTTCTGAAGCTCTTCATCTTCTTTGTTTACTGAACTCTTACCCGTACTTTCTTCATCGTTGGGATTTGCATCCACTTTAACATTCTTCAGTCCATTATCTGGTGCGATTCCACTCAGTGCTCTAACATGAAAAACCTTAGCAAAGGTGCGAGCCAATTTACTCTTGCTTGCTGTTACTTCTGATGGCTTGACGTGTTCCATCTGCAGAAATTTTACAAATATTGCAAATGAAGATGAAAACAGTGATATGTATTCAAGTGTTTAAAAAAGACTAATAAGGGGAATAAAGCTACAAGACGATGGTGATCATGATGAGTATGTTCAGCAAAAGAAAAAAGCAATATGCTTTAACGCTTAGATCGAGGCCTTTAATGGAGGCTGGAATTTTGGGTTTTTTTTTTTCATCTATAACTTGTTTGCATACTTTCAAAAGCATCAAAGAGTCATTTCCAAAACAAGCATATTTAGAAGACAAGGACGCTACAAATTAGGACTGAAGACATGATCAACATATGAATTAAAAATTCATTAATTTATAATGTATCCACGTAATAATAGGCATCTTGTCCGAGGTGGCAATTTTGAAAACATGGTCTTGTATATCAAGCTAAAGCAGAACAGAAGATTCAGTAATTGAACCATAACTTAGAATGTGTACATGGTTCTGCAAAAATGAAAAAGTTTTATACTGAGAAAAAGTAAAGCTTCATGCCCAAATTAACATCAACTCCCAGCAAAAAAAAAAAAGTCCTTATTTCTACATATTTTATTGTGATTTTACAAATTTATTAGGCAAGAGGGCAAGATTGGTGCAGAGGTAAAATTACTCCTTGTTAAAGAAAGGTTTTGAACCCCCTTTGCACTGCATAATCCTTGTTTGGTTTCCTAAAGTTTCGCTTCAAAGAGCAAAAGAGAATTGGCCCATCAGTGAGAGTAGTAATCATAGTGATCATCAACACTACCCTATTCACTTCCCATGTTTTGCAAACGCAAATTCAGTCATAATCCACAACATCAAAGGAATAATAAAATTCGAAAATAAACTCAAGTATACTACTTTTGTTGGGTAATCATTACTTGTTGTAATTATGATTATTTTAGTAACCATTACAAAAACTGACAATTGGTTTGGTTTCTTTTTTATTAAAAAAAATATATATCTTTGTCTGATTCATAATCCTTAGGATTCCCTGAATTCTTCATATTTAACATGAAGAAGATCTGGCTCCGCAATCAGTAGTTGGCCCTCTGTGTCTTTAACAGGACCCTTATCAAAGTGAATATCTGACACACAACTTTTAACTTCACTATCATGACTACGAGAGAAAATGGATCACATCCCATTACTAGATAGGAGAAGAGATACCTATCCATACCACTCAATAAAAACCCACCAGTTGTGGTTCATAAATATCATATTCTATTGAACAAACAGAAGCCATAAAATAAATAGATATATAGACACTGTGATGATTGTACTTAAAAGACTCATTCATCTTTCAAACATATTTTGATCTTCCCCGTGACTAAATTCACAGCCTCAGGGCACATATGCTGGATAAAACTGTACCTGAATACACTACACAAGAACAAACAACATTTTTCACTGCCATTCACGGTTTCCTCCCACTACTGTCATTTCAACATCCACTATTACAGACAATTCACATGGCTCTTATAAAAAAAAGTCAAAAGCATACAAGATGAGATTCTTTGGCGCTTTCAAAATCTACCAGACACAGGACATGTAACCTTATAAAGCACAACATTAGACGATGGGACCTCAAAAACATTATAACTCAGTTCCGTTTTTCTCCAAAAATGCCAACCTTTTTCAACAGTTTAAAAAAACAGAAGTCGTTATCTTTGACAAAGAATGTGTATTTATCATGCCAACAATCCACATAAACATGAAACGAGACTGATAAAAGTAAGCATTTTTATGGTTGTGGTATGTGATCACAACCAACAATTTTTTTTTTTATTGGTTAGATGCTAAACACTAAGCAATTTTAAAACCCAGAAAGATTAAAGTAATAACATTAAGAGAAAATCACAACCACTTACAGCTTAACCACATATCAAACAAAAGACCATTGATTTGAAATATCAAGGGAATTCAGTGTACCTTAAAAAGTATCTCAAGAAATTAGGAGTGAACGAAGATGTTAACTTCTCCTCATAGAGAAACGTAAATCTCAAGAAAACAAAGTTAGAACAGAACAAGTCAAATATATGATATCATATATATTGATCTCCAAGTGAAATACCCTGCAAAACAAAACACCCACAAAAGGAAAGAAAAAACAATCAAAAAAAGAAGAAACACTTTTCTCCAAAACACACACACAAAACACATGAAACGTAAACAATATGAGCGCTGGCTACAAACTCACAGAAACCAAGATGATGATTAAAACCATAAAAAGATAATCAAAACGTGTTTGTTGAACAAGTACAAGAGATGAAAACGCGTTCAAAAGATAACATATTTCCTTTTAAAAGATTATAAAAACACCGACTTTACCTTCAAAACAGCACCGCCAAAACCCCCAAAAGTTTATGATTCTGTCTCGTCCTCTATATCTATTTAATACGGTGATATAAAGAAGAAACAGTCAACAATGGAAGAAGAAGAATGAATGAATGACACCAACCAACAAAAAAAGAAAGACAAAAAATAAAAAAATAAAAAAGGTTATTTGAGTTTCATAGAAACTGATTGAATGAAAAAGAAAAAAGACCCACTTGGCTCTGTATTCCAATCTCTTCAAAGATTTGATGCTGTGTTTCTTCTCAGGCTCTGTGGTTTCTTGTTCTTCTCTCAGTTTAGAAAAACTTGTCCTTGTCGCTCTCTGAACTAGAGACTAATGGGTTCATAGGTGATTTGTGTTTGTGCGCGTGTTTTCTTTTTCTTTCTTTATTTTATTTTAACCCTTTCACACGTACAGAAATACCATAGCTGTAGGAGAGAGAAAAAATCTACAGCGAGAGATTTTCGATGTGAGAGAAAGTGTGTGAGATTACCAAAAAGGACAGGGATTGAGATATGTTCCGACCTGACAGACACTCACTCGGCATTGGGAATACTGCAGTGTCGTGTCGCTTTCGGTAATTTTAAGGTTACTTTTATAACCTTAGGCTTTGGCGATATTACATGTTCCAAGATTGGACGTACGAGGAGATTTTCTAGGGCGGGAAGGGTATTCTTGGAATTTAGAGAAATATAATTATGCCTTGTGTATAAATACTGAGATACTCCATTTAAAATGTTGTAATAATATGAAATTATGCTTTTCAGATTATTATTTTTATAAAAGAAATACATAAACAGAATAAAATATGTTGGAGTTCTTTCGATCCGGGCTACCGAAAAGTAGATGTATCTTGTTAGTATAGGTAGTACCAATTAATTCTTATAAGTCATTCATAATTGTATCGTCCCATACCAGCACAATCTCTGGAATCCCTCTCTTTCGAGTGTTGATTCGATTCATTTGTTCATGAACCCCCAAGCTGCAAGATTTTGGCATGAGCCGCTCATTGTCTGTGTCGTTTCGCACCGGCGATCACTCTCTGCCCTTGCCAGCTCTTGGGATGTTACATGCCCACCAGATTCCGCCTGGTTTGTCCTCGAACCACACCGTACTGAAAGACAGACCCTGCTCTGATACCACTTGTAACGCCCGGCAACTTGCAAGAATCAACGACTGTCCCCACACACTAACACGAGACTTTTCAGTGTGCTTTGTCCTCACTCGCACACTTCCGATCCGGGCTACCGAAAAGTAGATGCATCTTGTTAGTATAGGTAGTACCAATTAATTCTTATAAGTCATTCCTAACGGTACCGTCCCATACCAGCACAGTATCTGGAATCCCTCTCTTTCGGGTGTTGATTCGATTCATTCATGAACCCCCAAGCTGCAAGATTTGGCATGAGCCGCTCATTGTCCGTGTCTTTTCGCACCGGCGATCACTCCCTGCCCTTGCCAGCTCTTGGGATGTTACATAATCTCATGTTAAAGGAGATAAGATGTCTCATATCATAGAGACAAATATGTGGGTTCTACTATTTTCTAAAAAGTAAAAAAAAAATTGAGGGACCCTCCTTTTTATTTGTATAGGAGAGAAAAGTTATTTCCTATAACATGAGAAAATGATTTCCCATAAAATATAGCTAAGAATTATAAGTTTAGACTAAAATATGTGCCTAAAATCATTTTGCAGCATAAAACTTCATTCCAAGAAATAAGATTTGGATTATCTCATGTGAAAAAGTGTTCATGTGATCATGTTATTTTATCACAATCACTCATTGATGATGAGATAAGAGAAAAAAAAATCTCACGTGAAGCATGCCACTTGGCTACATTATTTCCTTTCTTGAATGTATGAGAGGTCTTGATTTCCTAAATGAGCTCATTGATCCTTTAGGCTGGGTTAGTCATAGGATGGTTCTTTTAACAACCCCTTTTAACGAGGTCATTAAAGAGTCATTCTCTATATGAACTTTTTTTTATATAATAAATCACAGATATTCTTAACAGGAGGTAATTCAGTTCGAGTTGAGAACATCTACACCATTGTGAGACTAGTTCTCCTAAAGAAAATTATTGCATTTGCAAGACCTTACTTAAGAGAAATCAAGCATGTACCACTTAAACCAACCATCTTTAGTTCTAGATGAACCTTTTTGAAACCATGTTCCCATGTTAAGTTTCGGCCAATTAAAATGCCGTAGAAATTCAACCATGATTTAGTTACCATAGCCAAGATGTCTAGAAAAACTTACCCTCCATATGCTTGTTCATCTCTCGGAACTCCACCGCAACCTATTACTATACCCTAAAAACACTAGAGTCATCCACATTTAACTTGATCTGGGTATTCAAAGGTGTTTCCAGCTGAACTACACTTGTGTTCTTGGTTTAGGACTTAGGACAACTTGCACCAATTTGCTTTCGGCTTCTAATAAGTTAAAAGGAATGTTTTTTGCACATTTGATCACAAATTCCACAGTCTAACTTTTATTAGCAAAACTCAAGTTATTCATATCACTCTATATCATCAAACAAACTATGTCAAACAAGAGGGACCACTCTTTGCCAAGATGGCCATGAAAATTGTTTAGAATTTGGAAAAGCCAGTTAAGGAGGTCTATGGAAAAGAATATTCCAAAATTGATGTTGAACCAAGTTCTACCAAATCCCCTTAGACCAAGGGCAATCCTAATGGAATCTGTATAAATCAAGTGCTTACTTTCATTTACGGATTGCAGCCTTAAATAAAGGCTTGATACAGATACACTCAAATGACCAGCAACTACAAGTTGTTCAGAATTTCCTAACAATCCTAACAAACTAACAATACAAATAAACAGTAACTACATATCATAACTAATAATCCTAAGAAACTAACAAATAAACAGTAACTACATAGAAACTAACTATATGAATTTTGAAATATAGTTACAGATTATTACAGCTTTCCTAATACTCCCTCTCAAGTTGGAGCATGGAGGGATGAAATGCCCAACTTGGATAGTAAAAATCAGAATTGTTTTCGCCCAAGTGCCTTAATGAGGATATCCGCTGGCTGGACATCAGTGCGAATATGAGTTGTATAGATGTTTTTGGACAGAATATGCTCTCTAATAAAGTGACAATCTAATTCGATGTGTTTTGTCCGTTCGTGAAAAACGGGATTCGAAGCAATGCGAAGGGCAGATTGGCTATCGCAGAACAATTGCACGGGACGTTGATGATGAACGCCAAGGGATTGCAAAAATGATTTGAGCCATAAAAGTTCTGCTGTAGCACTTGCCATTGATCTATATTCTGTTTCGGCAGAAGAGCGAGATACAGTATGTTGTTTCTTTGTCTTCCAAGAGATAGGAGAAAAACCTAGAGTGATAAAGTAACCAGTAACAGATCGTCTAGTAATTGGAAAGCTTGCCCAATATGTACGAAGCTGAAGATCACAATTGCTATGAAGGAGAATGCCCTAACCAGGATTACCTTTGATATAGCGAAGGACGCGGATAACAGCATCATAATGGATCTGTTTTGGATGTTGCATGAATTGAGACAGTCAGTGAACAGCGTAGCTGAGCTCCGGCCGCATTATAGTAAGATATATAAGTCGTCCTACTAATCTTCTATAGCGTGTAGGATCAGAATATTCAGGTCCATTTGCTTTTGCTAATTGGACATTTGGCTCCATTGGGAATTCTACGGGCTTACAGCCTAGCAGATCGCACTCTTTGAGAATGTCTAGTGCAAATTTGCGTTGGCAAAGAAATAGACCAGAGGAGCTTCTAGCCAATTCAATGCTAAGGAAGTATTTGAGTTTACCAAGGTCCTTGATCTTGAACCATGTGTGAAGATGATTCTTTACCTTATTACATAGGGAAGAACTATTGCCAGCTAATATGATGTCGTCCACATATATGAGAATCGCAACAAAATGATCTGCAGTAGAGTATGTGAACAATGTATAGTCAGCTTTGGATTGTTGGAAACCAAAGGAGAGGAGAGAGAGATGTAATTTAGCAAACCAGTTTTATGGGTGATTGTTTTAAGCCATATAAAGACTTTTGGAGCTTGCAAGCATAGCCAGGTGATCCATTAAAGAATCCAGGAGGAAAACGCATATATACCTCTTCATCCAAATCGCCATGGAGGAGTGCATTTTGAACATCGAGTTGGTGAAGTTCCCAGCCCATTGCAACAACTACGGATAAGAAAGTGTGCACGCTAACCATCTTGGCAACTGGTGCAAATGTTTCCGTATAGTCATCACCGGCAATTTGATTGTTTCCAGCTATAACCAAACAAGCTTTGTAGTGCTCAATAGTTCAGTCAGATTTGTATTTAATTTTGAATACCCATTTGCAAGGAATGGCCTTTTTGCCATATGGACTTTTTGTGATTTTCCATGTCTTATTGGATTCCAAAGCCTGTATTTCAAGTCTCATTGCTTGTTGCCATTTGGGATCGTTCATAGCTTCTTTAAATGTGGAAGGTTCTTGAGCATTAGTGACTGCCGCAAGAAAGAGTTGGTGCTTGGGAGAAAACTTATGGTTAGAAACAAAATCAGCAATATTGTAAGGCTTACCTGAGGCGACTGAAGGAGAGGTGATATGCGAAGGGTGTGTAGTAGTAGACTTGCAATGATAATCTTTGAGGTAAATGGGAGGCTGACGTTGTCTTGTTGCTCGTTGAGTGATTGGAGGTGCAGGAGCCGCTGCTTCAATGGACTGAGATACACCAATAGAAGGTTGAATACCTTGTGATATATCTGCGGACACTGGTGGAGGAGTGTTGTGTGGAACCGGTGTGGAAGATTCAGATGTGGGAAGCACAAGTGGTGCATCATCATGGTTCTCAATAGAAGAGGGTAGTGTCCGCTGTAGTACATGTGGTGAAGTAGAGGATTGCAGTGCAAAGGGAAACGTATTCTCATAGAAAATAACATCACGAGAAACAAAGGTGACATTGGTTTCTAAATCCAAGAGCTTCCATCCTTTCTTGTGAACTGAGTATCCAAGAAGTACACAACGACGAGAACGCGAAGCAAACTTGTCCGTCGGTTGTGGCACAATTGTAGAGTAGCACAAACACCCAATAACACGTAAATGATCATATGTTGGAGCGGTTCCATGCAGAACTTCGAATGGGCTGAGACCACCAAGAAGCTTAGTTGGGTTTCTATTAATGAGATGAGCAGCGTTCAAGATACAATCACTCCAGTATTCAATAGGTAAATGGCCATCAAATCGTAGTGCACGAGAAACATTAAGAATATGACGATGTTTCCTCTCAACACGACCATTATGTTGTGGTGTGTATGTACACGATTGTTTAAGGAATATTCCTCGATCATTCAACAA